CTCACTGTTGCTTCTTGACCCACATATAGGTTTCTCAGAGACAAATACGATGGTCTGGTACTCCCATCTCTTGAAGAACTTGCCACAATTTGTTGTGATCCACACAATCAAAGGCTTTAGCACAGTCAATGAAGCAGAAGTAGATGTTTTTCTGGAACTCCCTAGCTTTCTCCATGATCCAGCATATGTTGGCAATTTGATCTCTAGTTCCTCTCCCTGTTGGAAATCCTGCCTGTACTTCTGGTAGTTCTTGGTCCAGGTACTGCTGGAGCCTGGCTTGTAGGATTTTGAGCATCACTTTGCTAGCATGTGAAATGAGTGCAAGGTAGGTTAGGTGAGGGATAAACTGTGAAGTTTGCACAGAACACAGAAACGAAGAAGAGGTTAGGAACATTGGAAGCTGCCTCACACTGAGTCAGAGCACTGGCCCATCCAGCCTTGTACGACCAACACTGATTGGCAGTGGCTCTCCAGGATTTCAGGTGGTTCTTCTGTTGTGCCCGGAGAAAGTACTTGAGATCTCTGCATACAGAGCATGTGCTGTACCATGGAGCTATAAGCTTAAGGACAAGTTTTGCGGCAATTTATGCATCATGGAGACTGTGTCAGCACAGTCCAGCCCTTTAACAGACCAGCAGTGTGCAAATAAGCCTTATCGGCCCACAAGGAAGCAGTGCCCGTGTCATCTCCTGCCCATCCCTGCTGGAACTGGGGCGAAAATAGTAAGAGATCTGCAGGGAAGATCAAGGGAGCATTTTGCCAGTGGCTTTGGTAGCCTGACTCAGTCATTAGCGTTCTAACCGTCACTCTAAACACTCTAAACTGAGTCACTGCAATAATAAAACATCATTTAATGACAGTCCATAAGCTTCTTGAAAGCCAAGAAGAAAGCTAGTCAGTGACCAAACAATACCTGGATTGAAGTGAGTGCGGGCAAGCAAATCACTGGTGCAGTTTGTTTTCAATGAAATCTTTACTGTGGCGGTCAAGTATCATTAGTCATCTAACAATGGCCTGTCATCCTTTCTGGGGTAGAACTGCCTGTTCCAACAGGATCTGAAAGCAAACACCCACGAAGAAGCCAAATGTAAGGAAAACGTGTGTATGTTCAGCTAGTCTCCCGCTGCACGTCAGCTGCAAGATCCTCACATGGTCCAAGGGGATGCTACCTGGTAGGCAATTCTACACAAGGCATTTTCGCCCTGTCCGCTACAGCTACATGAAGTGGGAAAACAGGGGAGCTTGTCCGTCGTTGTCTGTTCTCTCACTGAGGAAATCCAATCAGCTTCTCACAAAAGCCACTGGGCTGAGGATGTGAGGAGGAGGAAGCTTCTGCCAGAGTGAGCTATTTGGAGCAATGCGATGGGGTCACCTGCTTGCATCACCTGAACTTACTTTGCCCCACAATGGACCCTTCTCTGGCTTTTGGCACCCCATGTTCTGGGTTTCTCCCTGGGAGTGATGAGGCAAAAGCCCCCTCTGTGAACAAGGGGAATCCAATGGCATTTTGGTCCTGTCCAACCCCCTGGTTCACGTGTCATTAGACAAGTCCTGGGCTCATGCAGTCTGTTCTTCCCCTTCCTAACCACCTGTTTTGCACAAGCCACAGTTTGCCGATTCAACAGTAACAGCAAAGAACTGTTTGCACTAAGCAGGGAGCCTCAGAGGGAACTGGTGTCAGGAAGCATCACCTGTGCCAAGCATTACCTGCAAACCAACAAAAACATAGAACAGAGGAGTCCAAAAACCAAGCCATTCTTTCCCTCCTGCTAAGACGTCCTCTGGGTGAAATAACCCCATGAATCGAGGCAGGTAGCAACATTCCTTGTGTTTCACAACCTCACTCGGTGACATCCAGTTCCCTGGAAAACTAAGGATTACTCGGCCGAGGACATTTGGGAATTTCTCAGCCAAGCCTCTGTTTTGAGTACATCCAGGCCTGTATTCACCAAATAAGACAGGTTTAGATTTAAGGGCCCTACTCTGATTTCCATAAATGACATCCAAGGTACAACAGCCACAAACCCAGTTGCTCGAAATTTACTTTCAACAGCTCGGTTCTTATCAACGTGGCAGTGGAGAGGGAACCAAAGAGCAGAGAAACAAGATCAGGATATTATACACTACTCTTAGCACTCTCCTGGACCTTCTAAGATATTCTCCCTCCCTCTGAAACAAGTTCCAAGAATTTCCCTAGAACAGAACCAGAGAAGCCACCCTTGCTAAAAATAGCCACGCTGACGGTTCAGAAGTTAATCAGGAGATCACAAACAAACACTCTCCTAACACCCTGGCCAAGAAGCATGTCTGGTTCCAGGGCATAAAAGTAATGGAGAAACTTATTTCCTTGAAAGAAGACCTAAGAAAGAATTCCATCTCATGGGCAGCACCGTAAGTATTACCTTTGAAACAATAAAAGAACCATTCACAAAATGTAGAAGGAAACATCCTGAATCATCTTATAAGAAAGATAATAACTATTACGATTACTTCACTGGGAACCAAAAGATACTGTAAGCAAATGTTTCAAAGATGAAAAAGCGACCAGAGTTGGATTACCAGTGCAAGAAAAGTCAAAGAACAAACGTTACCGGGAATGCATACATAATTAAAACTTTCAGGATTCAATCCTATGCTTGTTTGAACAGAAAAAGCCTAAGGAATGCTGGGAATTATACATCATTTTTCCATTTTAAACAAGCACAGGATTGTGTCATAAACTGATTTAAGGATCATTTGGATGTGTCACTTTCTAGATAGTCTTTGAAACTATAATTCCCAGAGTTCCTTGTGGGGAAGCCAGCAAACCAGTTTATGATAATTTACATTTCTTGTACAATTGCCACCAAAACCAATGGCCAGCTGTGTTCTTTGTTCCCATCAGTTTTACCATTTATATTGATTACCATGTAATCAATGTAATACCATTTACAGAGCATTTACCTGACATGTGTTTTTCCCATTTTCTAATTCACATTGTTTTAATCAGGCTGCCAGTAAGACGAGACTATAGGCAGCTGGGGATTTCTCAACCAATTCAGTTTAATGTAACCTTGAGGGAAGCTGTTAAAACAAAATGGCATAAATGCCATGAAAAACTTCCGTGGAAATGCCCAGATCAACATGAGATTTATATACACCTGCAAAATGCATTTTCAGATTTGCAGGGGAATGACACTAGTTTATGCTTTCACAAAAACATCAGAGTCAAAGAACTTTAAAACCCAGAGCAAAAATAGTAGAGACACTACAGAGAAGACTCGTATCATTTGGGATGTGAAGCAAACTAGGCGAGCACAGCCTAAAAGTGCAGGATCCACTTCCAAACCTACGAGGCCAGTAAAGGACTCTGCTCAGAGTGCCCCATATTCCAGTTTTGGCAAGACAATGACTGCCGCTAGCATTACATTTCTGCACAATCTCTGGGATAGATTGATAATGCTCTTTCAAGTATTTTGTGTGCGCCAAATTGACTCCAGAAGGCCACACTAGCTGCAATCTCTATATTTTGGGTTTCTCTTCCCCAGAGGACTGGCCAGATCTTAACCATCTTTCTGGAGTAGCTTTTACTCAAACTGAGTTTTAAAGTTCAGGGGCAACATAAGATAGTTAATACACAATTATTAGTCCCAAGCTCCTATGATACAACTGGCTATTAGCACGATCGATGGAAAAGATGGCAGAAGATTATCCTCTTGCCTAGACTTAATCTTTTAGGAAGCTGCACAGGCTGACTTCCATCCTCCCCTGGTGTATTCAGACATCAGCTGCAGCTGCATTGGGGTGTCAGGGGTCAAGTGGAAGTCAATGCCCACAATGAGAAAGCTAATGCTACAGTAAGAGATCCAGCCCAGCACAGCGGCTAAACGCCTGAACCCTACGCTGCCTTCCGAGGGTCCCTTTTTCAGTCTTTGCAGAAGCTGTGCGAGCTGCCTGGCACGGCACCTTTTCAATGCAGAGGGAAGGGCCAGAGGCTCTGAGAATATATGCAGAGCAGTCTGAACATTCCAGTTGAAGAACACTTAGAATTCTTATTCCTGCCCTGCCCCACATCACAAGAAAGTAGGCAACATCAAGAGATTTTTCTACCTCACCATGACTCAGGCTGACTTTGCCTACAACAAATGTTCTGCAATTCAAGTCGAAGCTCACATGTCTCCTTTCTCTTTAATCTCAATCAGATGCTGTGCTGGAGCGTCTGCCTAGATTTGCCTGCTGAATAGCAAGGGGAAAGAAATTGTGCAGCTGATCCATTAAATTCCATCCTCTTCTCTCATTTATTAATGAATGTACTTTAGCTTCTCCTTTCTACCCAATAAACCCTTCCCCCTACCTCTTCCTTTAAGCTATTAAAGGTGCCTTATTTCTTCCCTTTAGTGATAGCTTCACTATTGAAGTCTTAAATATTATGGGATTTCCATTTCTATATAAATCCCACCCTTCACTTTTTCCAAACACCTCTCAAAGACGCATGGACTTCTCCATCCCTTTTTCCCCCCTTAAAAAAAGTTGGATGAAAAATGCATCTTGCTTTGGATTCCAAGCCCCTCCTACTAATTAAATGTAAAGAAAAAGCAAAAGAACTATTTAGAAGGCATATTAAATTTTACAACATTGCTGTTTGACATATGCTACCACCTATACTACTTTCTGTGAACAGCCATGATACGCATTTTTCATCATGACAGTGTCAATATAAGTATTCTCAGGGAAGGATATAGCAATATTTATTCATTCTCTATACTGCCCAATAGTCAAGGCCCTCCAGGTAGTTCACAACAGCACATTAAAATGCACCATACTAAAATATCATAAAAAACTTACCCTACAAAATTTAAAACCAAATTTAAAACAGGTACAGACAATTACAATAACTTAAAATAAATTCTTAGGGTTGATGCTCCCCCCTCCATATTTCTGCCTGAGGTTTTTTCCCCTCCGGCAATCAAATGCCTTCTACTTCTCCGTACATCACTTTCTACAAATTGGGATGCTCTTGGAAGACAAGGCCCTTTAAAGACATGCATACAGTGAAACTTTAGAGCATGTGCTGATTTTCAGATCTGTGTGTCTGTTGTTGCTTTTGGTCCTTTCTTCATGGCAGGGTTATTTATCACAATACAGCGACTCTTGAGGAGCTCTAAGGACACACTGAGCTCTGAGGCCTGCACTAAAGAGAGGGAGACCCAAAGGATTAGAAGGTGCACCCTCCTGTAAGGCACACATGCATGCATCCCTGAAAGACAGAGAGAAGACCCAGGGTGATCTCAGTAGGTTAGAAGGCTGTGCAGAGAACGACAGAATGAAACTCAACAGGGACAAATGCCCAAGTCCTCCACCAAATGCACCACTAAGAAGATGGGGAATACTTGGCTCAACAATCCTGGAAGTGAGAAGGACCTCAGGTTTGTTCCAGGTCACAAGCGCAACAGGAGCCGGCAATGTTGGCTCAGAACCGAGTATGTTCAGCCTTGAGAAGAGGAGACTGGTGGGGGAGGGCATGACGTTGCTGTTAGTCGCGAAGTCGTGTCTGACCCCTCGCAACCCCATGGACAACACTCCTCCAGGCCTTCCTGTCCTCCACCATCCCCGGAGTCCACCCAAGCTCACGCCGGCTGCTTCAGGGACTCCATCCAGCCACCTCATCCTCTGCCCTCCCCTCCTTCTTTTGCCATCTACTGTTCCCAGCATCAGGCTCTTCTCCAGGGAGTCCTTCCTTCTCATCAGGTGGCCAAAGTATTTGAGTTTCATCTTCAGGATCTGGTCTTCTAAAGAGCAGTCAGGGTTGATCTCCTCTAGGACTGACCGGTTTGATCGCCTTGCGGTCCAAGGGACTCGCCGGAGTCTCCTCCAGCACCACAATTCAAAGGCCTCAATCCTTCGGCGTTCAGCCTTCCTTATGGTCCAGCTTTCACAGCCATGCATTGCAACCGGGAAAACCATAGCCTTGACTATACGCACTTTTGTCAGCAGGGTGATGTCTCTGCTTTTCAGTACGCTGTCTAGATTTGCCATAACATGATATCCCTCTGTAAATATCTCAAAGGCTGTCACAAACAGGAAGGCCAAGGTCTCCTCTTGTTGATAACAGAGTGCAGGACACAGAATAATCAACTTGGGTTGCGATAACCCAGATTCAGGCTGGACATCAGGAAAAGTTTCCTCACTGTAAGAGCAATATAACAATGGAACCAGCTGCCTGGAGAAGTGGTGGGCACTCCCACACTGAAGACATTCAAAAAGTAACTGGACAGCCACGTGAGTGGGATAGTGTGACTTGGTGTCCTGCAACAGCAGGGGGTGGACTGGATGGCCTTCATGGCCCCTTCCAACTCTTCTATTCCATGATTCTGTGAACCCCATCAACCCATCCAGCCCTTAAATACCTGACTGCTGCTTCCATCAACTTCATAACTCACACCTCTGCATTTCTTTGAAACAACCAACACACCAGGACACTGAATAGCAGCACTTTTAACAATAAAATAAAATACTGAAACAAATAAAAACAAGCAAAAGCAACAACCAGGACAATCCAGCAATGAAAAGCCTGGAAAAAAAATCAGAATGCTCAGGGCAACTGAGGCAGCAGAGTACGTGCCCGGCGAGCCTCTCTTGAGGAAGCCACAGCAGAGCTGGGCCAGTTACCACTGCCTGTGCTCGGAGGAGGAGCAGTCAAGGGTACAGGTGAGCTTGTAACAGGTGGGCATTCACTCAAGTACCTGGCCCCCATCTTTAAAAAGATGAGCTCCAGCATGGCCTGGGGGACACTGAAGATACTCCCACTGACCGGTCCTGGGGACAAGTCTTGCAGCTGCATTTTGAACTAGCAGTTCTGACACTGCAGACTTCAAAAGGCAGCCCCACATGTAACACAATACGGAGGTCTATCCTGGGTGGGCAACTACAGCCAAGCCAGCTAAGAGGGCTACGGTTGGCGCACTGGCCTTCACTGGTAGCAAGCATGCCAGTCCATTTGGGATTCCGGGGCAAAACTGGACTGAGGGGTACCCAAAGCTGCAAAAGCACTTCAGCGGGAATGCAGTCAGATTGAACGCCGTCTCCCCACTTAGATGAGCCACTGATCTCCTTGCCTGGCTGTGCTTTAGTTTATTGTTCAGCTCAAAAAGATTACAAATCGAATATTTGCAAAAAGACAGCATACAAAGGCACAGTCCCCACATATCAACATAAAATTTCCAAATGTGTTAGGCAAGCCTAAGCGACAGGATAGCTCAAGCCGCCCCACTTTCTGCAAACTCTGGTTTAAAAAAAGAGACACTCGGGTAAAAACAAAGTCTAACACTTGGCCTCAACAGATGTATCAACACGGTTACAACACTGGTACTTCCAGCACACCTAGTTCAACACGCCTGGAATACAAGCTCCCATACCGATGAGACAGAGTGGAAGGCGAGCGGGGAGAGAGGTCCCTTCCATGGACCTGGCACAGCTGGAGTCTGTGGGGAAGAGCGAGCCTGCAGTGGAAGCCATTAATATCAACCTTAAAGCCAGGTAAGTGAATGTGTTCCGCCCAAGCTACATGGAAGGGGCGGCGTCCGACGGCCGCTAACTACCAAGGTCTCTTCGGCTCCTCCACTGAGGGCCCTCCGGCTCACGAGCACGTGAAGGGGGATGAGTTCCCATCCAAGCTCTGTCAGCTGCCGTTTCCGTGAGCTTTTAGAAAAACTCCATAAAACCATTTGTTTCCTTTGCCTTCTTGAACACCGATTGTTTTCAAGTTGTGCTCGGTGTGGTATCTGCGGTCTGCTTATTGTCTGCACGGCGATCGTTATAAACGATACGCACAGTTGGATCCCCACATGGCAAGGGGGTAGCAAGCGGTGGAGACAGCCTCTGCCCTGCCATTCTCCAAGCTTTGCACATTTCACCAGATGGGCTTTTCAGTGATGTACAGCAGTGCACTTGGGGGGGGGGATGTAGCTGGAGGTAGTTCAGGTCTCCTCCCCACCCATCGGAACTCCCCCAAACTTCTCCCCTGCGGTTGCGTTTCCTGAGAAGGGAACGAGCGAGTTTCTTTCCACACTAACTGTGAGCCCAAGGGAGAGGGAGAAAGCCCCCGCCCCCAGGCTCCCCTCCAAGCTGGCAGAGGCTTCTTCAAGCCTGGAAGGGTTTTTCCAAGCCATCGCATTGCCTCTGTGAGCATCCCAGGGTTGCCTTATAAGACATTTTTTCATTAGAAAGTTTCTCCCCGAGTTCTTTTGAAGCACACAAACTGGGCACAATCTATTATGGACTTTTCCTGTACAAATGCGTTCACAAGGAAGCTGTTACGAAACATTTGCCACACTGCAGCTACCAATCGTGAAATTCTGCTTTCACAAAATCTTCCGTTTTGTGTGAACCTGTTGGAAAAATCCAACTACCGGTCCAAGCAACGAACGAGGCAGATGAAGTGGGTCCCTGACCTACAGGGAACCGGACCACTTGACAACTTCTATGGTTTACAAATTCTTGCTTTTGGAACACAGACCACCAATTCACGAGCATCCCACTTTTCACAGACTCCTAAATGACGTGCATCAAGAAACGCTTCTCACTGTTAGTGCCACCCCCAGCTAAATGTAGCGTCTGTAAAGATAAAGCACGTGGTCCCTTGTAAAGATTCCAGGGTATGAACTGAAGGCATTCTTCTGAGAGGTAGCTGCATACCTACCAAAACATGGCTGGGAGACTGCCTCAGAACCCTATGCTTGACCTGAATTTCATCACAGAAGAAAGCAAGACATAAATATTGTGAGCTCACATTAAGATTTCACAAGAATTTTCTCCTGGCAGAAGATGTATGTAGATGCATTTCACTCAAACACACAGAGAGTACTCTAAAAAGAGGGCTACTAAATATATACCAAAGCCTGAGCATAATAGAACTCCACAAACAGGAATCCCCAAATCCCAAAGTTAGCTGGATCAGATTTTCCTGTTGCAACAGACACTGAGAAATTCCCGGCATCATTACTTTGACAGCCTCATGCAGTTTACTGGCAGTGTCAATGGGTTTTAACTTACAGTACTTGCTGTAAGTCAAGGTGTCATCATAAATTAATTAGCAAAGCAACTTCACAGTAAGTTTTAAATGCATAGCAGCATATTTACTTTTCAGAGGCACTGAAGACATTAATGGCTTCTGCATGTTAACAAAAGCAACTTCCTTTACAAAAGGCCTTTTCCACCATTTTTGTTCTGAAATACCTAATGCCAAAATCAACTGTTATATGAATTTCCTTCTCAATATATCAAGGCAGCGTGTACTGCCAAACAGAGCACAGGTGGCCAGTTTCGCCTGCCGACCTCCCAAGTTTTGTCCCACCCACCACCACAGGGGTCACAAAAGGTCACAGAAGGAAAAATGGGGCGAATGGGGCAGCATAAAAATGTTTTAATAATAAATAAATAAATAAATAAATAAAAACATCCAACCCATTCAGCTCTAGGAGCTGCTAGGTCCCCAAAATCTTGGCTGCCACCAAGTCCTGCAAAAGCCTAGGAGTTTGTTAAGAAGAAACCCATGAACTTAAATAGAAGAGTGCCACTCATTTACGTTTTTTCCCTTTAACATCATTACAGTACCCAAAAATCCCTAAAAGAAGATAAAATACTGAATAATAAATACCACTTAAGCTAGCTTTTGCAAAAGCACTTCAAAGTTCAGATGTAGTGGCTTTCTCAGACCCTGAAACCAGTTCAAACCATCATCCTTACTTACCCTAACCTCTCTATGCTCCACCTTCCTCAGCAGCAAACTGAAGACTAGTAACATTTATCCCTGTCCTTTCCAGAATTCTTTTCCTGGCAAGACCTGATAGACAATGCAGTTAAGCCGCAGTTCTGGATCTGTGACATCACACTGCTGTCACAGTCGCCGGTGCAGGGTCAGCACTCCGGCATTCTCTTCAGAACCAGAAATTACTCAAAAGACTGCCCAGCAATAATGCAAAGTTGCTTTGGTTACATCCACTTCAGCCTATCCCTGCTTGCCCAGCGATGAACCACCACCGGGGCACGTGCGGCAGAGTTCACACGGCAGTAAGAGCCACGTGGCAGGGCGGGATGGCGTCGCCAGCATGCCGAGGCCGGGCTTGTACACCACCCTGACAACCCATGGCTCGTTATACAGTTAGTTTAACCCAGCATGGCTCGCTTTGTCATCTGAACCTGGGCATCATTCATGGACGGGACATGCCCCACATGCTGCTCGGGCAAAGCAGCTTCCGCAAGTGCCCCAGAGCGGCTGCCACAGGCTTCCCAGCAGCACAGACCAGTTCCTCCAGCCCCACCCACGTCCGCTGCACGCCAGCCCCCGAGCCCCACAAAGGGCTTGAGGGGGCAATGCCCGGCAGACACCAGCTCATCCCTGCATCTCGGCATCCATGGCTGCCACGAGCAAGAGGCTGCGTTCCCCAGAGCCTACAGCCAGGTGCTGCTGGGAGAACCCCCAACCCCTCGGCAGCTCAACGGGGGCTCGAGGGGGCAGCCA